CGTCCAGCTTCAGCACCTCAATGCAGCCGTTGTACACCTCATCGTAGGACAGCTTGCCCGTGTCGTTCTTGTCGAACTTCTTGAAGAGGTCAATGCGGCGCTGCTTCGCCTCGGCCGTCTTATCGCGAGGAATCACCTGACGAATGCGCTCCCACGCAACCTTGCGGTCAGTGGCACCCTTACCATCCTTGTTGCCCGCTGGGCTCTTCGAACCGCAAGCCCCCATGATCTCCTGCTTCTTGGATTGCGCTACTATCGCCTGCGACGCACACTGCAACACGCAAAAACACAACGGAAAGAGGGAGCCAACCTCAGCAAAAACGGCGACACCACAAAAAAGCTACACGCAGCCACACTTGGCGCCGCACAAGCTCATACGCACAAACCCAAGCAGTACAAACATATACGAACAGTCACCTGCTACAGAGAAAAGCAAGTAAAACTCCACGCCATTCCACACCCAGTAACTTGTCAAAGATAAAACAACAAAAAAAAAAAGAAGGATATCTACATTGGCGGCAATACAGTAATGCTTGTGGGTTTTATGATTACAATGAAAAATCGAATCTGACGAAGATTATAAGATGTGTGTGCCACATTTACATTGGGTGAGAGAAAAGTAGTATCAATAGTGTGTTATTTCCCCTCAATAAGCTCTTGTATCAGATACATGGCATGGAAGCCTGGCGTAGTTTAAAGAAAGTTTTTTTTTAAAAATGCGGCAGTAACAAAATGATATGGTGTAATATATATATATGAGTTGTCCTTGTGCGATTGTCTCGGTCACGCGAGTCAGAGGCATTGTAAAATGTATGTGGTTTTATTTCTCTTCTTACTTTATCTCTCTATAATAGCAAGAAACTGTAGCACCTTTCAAAGGTGGTTGCTTCCGTTATATAAAGCAAATGTCATGTGCATCATGTAATTTCTTTGGTGATGTTTGCCAGGAGCTCAGTATAGTGAATTGTAAGAGGGCTTCGGTCATTAATGAAGATATTGTGCCTCAAATATCTACACTATAGTGATGTGCCAAATAAAAGGAACGAGGTTTCAACATGATCCTGAGACTGGTAAAATATTGTTTTTAGTGATATGAGTACTTTTAATTCCGCTGGTAACAGGGAAAAAATGGCATTCATGATAAACGTACAGACGCTTCATGATCATGATAGTGCTTAACTGTAAACGCCCCATTACAAAAAAAAAAAAATGAGCCAGCCTCAACTTCATAGATTTACCTCACCGAAATCATGGCACATTTTTCAGAATTATTGTATCCAGTGGAATGTATATCGTATACACTGTTTGAATTCAAAGCAACTAGCTCTATTCCCCTGTCTTAGGATTATCCCCCCACGCCACCCCACGGGCCTTCACTTCGTTACGATAGCGGATTAGTTGTAACCTAGAAAGCATTTCGCAGAACTGTGCAGTAGTACGTTGTCAAAAAATAACTCTTCTTATATCAGCGCCAAACCGCAGCAAATAGAATGTTCAAACACTTATAGATGTCATTTTATTTTCATTAACCAGAAAAGACGGGTTTGTCAGCAGTATTAAAATAGTTTGTACAGCATCAAAAAGTTTCTCTGAAAAGTTCTTGATTCGAGTCAACGGCTCATTTAAATCAAATAGGTTTCAAAAACGCAATGCGTTCTTATATCCGGTATTAAATGAAACTCACAGTTTTGAAAGCAAATATCCAGTCACTCAAATTCCCCCCAAAATGCCAAACAATACCCCCATAAATGCAATAAACACTCCATTTGCTAAATGAAGCAACAATTGTAAGGTTATCATAATGTGGTGCAGAAAAAAATGGGTAAAAGAAGGGCATTCCTAACCAATGAGCACTTCTGATAGCTAGTTTAACAAGTCTAGCATTAAGTTATCAAGCGTGACGTGTGACGTCACAACCGTTTTCCCCAGTATAAAAAAAAACTTGAGGTTTACCTTCAACACAGAGAAGTACAAAAAAAAAAGTTAAGCTTCATCTACCAATGTATAATGGTAATTTAATTTTTACGCCCGTGACTGAATGCGTACATGGAAGTTTTGTGGAGCCAGTGGGCGTGATGGATATATACAAGATGCAGCTTCAAAAAATCATGTTATCTATAAGTAAATGAAGCTTTTCAACCCGTTTATATTTATTAAACAGTAACATCTGATGCATTTTCTTGGTATCAAAATAACTAAATATTAGTTGGGTAAAACAGAAGGCTGTGATAATGAAAATAAGGCCACATAAAGACTGACATTTGATATTTTGCTTCTCGCAATTCAGGAAGTAGTTTTCATATGTGGCCCAAAGAGTCATGTATTCTCTTTATAGACGAATCAAGAGCGTGTATACAGTCACATATGTGATGTTATTGGCCCCCTCGCAAGAAAGATAAACGCGTAAATATTCCTAACATTTCTCCAAAATGACTGTATCCGACATTAACAAACGTCACTGATTATGTAAATAAAAATCACCAGATGTGCCCAACCCAGCGTTAAACAAACCAGTACTACTATTCCATAAAACCCAAAGCCCACAAGTCTCACGACACCTCAAAGCGCATCTCTGAAGTGACTTCCTGAAAAAACACAAACTTCGATGCACCAACTCCAATAATGGACAAATTCAGCAGGAAAACCTTCTGCCAAATCCAGTTATGGGTTCTAGCCTCTCTATTTAATGTGGACAAATAACCACAACATTCATCTCGCAACAAATTGTTTTAGCCAACTTTATGTTGAAGTGCGCAAGCCAATTATCCGACGCACAACAAACACAAAAGTGTCAAGCGAATATTATCCAAAACAACTCCTTAGAAACTGTATCAGCAAGGACTTTAACAAGTGCATGCGACAAACTCTTTGCAGACTCTCTTGATCCCTAAATACCGCAACCAAACAATAGTCTCACTCCTAATATTATGTTCAATATTAGTATTATTAGAAATGAATGGGTGGTAAATAAGCCAATAACACAAACATGATCTATAGTGTTAACATTTTTATTATTATCATCATTGATATTATCAATATTATCATTTTCATTATTATTATGAACATTGTGATTATTATTACTATGATGATGATGATGATTATTATTATTATTATTGTTGTAATCAGTAGTAGCATCAGCATCGTTCTTGTTACTATTACCATAATTACTGTTATCAGCGATATTGGTAAAAATAATATGACCATTATTATTATTGTCGCAAAAAAAAAGTCGTGCTCAAATTTATTTGCTGCCTCGCTATTAATTTGTGTGATTCCCCTTCTCTGTCCATTCGCCATTATTTTTAACAAATCAAAATTGTGATAAATTCTTTCTACCGAAACGATCTTGAAAGAAAAAAAACCTCGCAAACACTCGATACTGGTACCATCGCAATGTTATCCCGTCAATCGAGCCAACAATAAAAATTTGAAAAAGGCAGAGAGGGAAAACCACTCTTCATATCTGCCCCCGGCCGCCTGTCTGCCAGCGCTACTGGCGCTGGCAAATCTTCCCCGGCCCCTGAAGGACGGAAAAACTGCTTCTCTGCGGATCCGGGCAGGCGTCCGCGCACTATCTGGAGTCACTTTTTCACCTCCCACCCTCCACGGTCACAAAAAAAAAAACACTCCCGGTGCTGGCATTTCCTTTGAGAAGCCGCGCCGGCCGCCCCACAAAGAAGCGAACGACCCGAGATACCAGAGACCCTTCGGCGGCGGGGGCAACTTAAGGAAACGAGTGCCGCCAAGGCCCGACCCCAGCGAACACGCCCCGGCACGAGCAGGATCTTTGCCGTACGCAAACGTCGAGCGGAACACGCGCAATCAACATCGGGGTGGAGCTGGCAGTGTGGTTCGCGCATCCTCCGAGCGCGCCCCTTCACAGGACGGCGAGCGTGGCGCCCCGCAAAAAGGGAGTGCGCAAAACCAGCAGGCACAACCCATGGCGCGTTGTTGGTTGGTGGCGGCAGCGGCTGGGCCTTGCGCGGCACCCTGTCCAGAACGCCCGAGAACTGCGGCCGAACATCGGCGGCGCGCAGGCGGCACGTGCCGATTCCGTGCCTGTTCCGCTGGGTGGCGGTCCTCCTTTCCCGCCGCCCGCCGAGGGCCCGTATACACGAGGCCTTCTCCGCCCCTTTCTCGGCTCACCTGCGGTGCCCCACGGTAGCCAGCTTTTGGCCCACGGCTTTGCGCCTTTGCCGCCAAGGGCCCAAGTAGGAGGCCTGTGGGCGCCCCCATCCTCGCGCACCCCTTCGCCGCCGGTGGCCTCGCATTCGGC